TCTTACTTACATTTCTTTTTACATTCTTTTGATGATTACTCTGATCTCTCTCAAACCTCGAGCAATTTTTATCATCCCTCTCTTACTCATATCTTTCATGTCTGACTCAATCTTCAATGCTTATTGTAACACATCTTTGTAACTATCAATTATATGAAAAGACAAACAAGATCGACTACATGACTTTGACCTATGTTTGAATCATATTGTCTTATTCTATTTGAGTTAATGATGTGAGTGCAGAAACATCCCAACTCGTTAAACTTGTTGGCATACTCTAGCACAGACATATCATGCTTTTGTTATAACTATAGAAACTCATTCTCCTTTTCTACTTTCATTGACTCTGAAAAATATTGATCAAAGAAAATTTTTTTAAACTTTCTCCAAGTCAAAGGCTTGACTGAATCTTCAAATGTGAGATTTATAGTATCCTACCAGTACTTAGCATTTTCTCTTAGTTGAACGATAGCTAAACTCAACTTCAAATCCTTAGACATTCACATCGCCTTAAAGAGTTTTTTAAACTTTTTAACTGAAGCTTCCACAGTTAAAGGATCAGGGCTGCCTCAAACTAAAATGGGTTAACCCGTCGAAACCACTCATAAGTTATCTCATGTTGTTGCAAATTTTTTATGTCTGCTATTGTTGTTATATCAAATTAAATATCACTTGACATACTTCAGCTAAATCATCTTACATCGTAGGAGCATTAGGAGCATTTTCAATATTAATTTGCTCATCTCGAACATTGGTAGTTTCAAATTCATCTATTCTCTTATCAATTTTTTCCTCCAACTAGTAAAGTTTGCCAGTGTCTCATTTCCAGCATTCATTCTCACCTAAATTAGTACCAACGAAAATAGCTCATAAGCAATCAAAATGGAATAAATGAATCTTATTAGTGTAAATACTAAGAATACTTAAGTTATACACCAACTATAACTCAATTCTTTCTTCTCTCAAATCTTAACCTTTGGCTCCGATACCACTTTATGTCACACCTATCGAGACATAACATGATCGTATTACTTTGAAGTAAAACCTCAAAGTAATACGAAGCCTAATATATTACCATTGAAAAATCTTCAAATAAAATAAGGTTCTCAATAAGTTTTAATATCTATAAAATAACTAAATAACATATCTCTAAACTACCAATGTCAAGTGTTACGACTAAAAAGAAATAATACTTCATAAAATCCTATTCTCTAAATAGTTTTCCAATGCTTAAATTCTTCTAGCTTCTTACAAGACTAATCATACTTATCATTCATATCATCTGTAAAAAAAAAAAAAAAAGAATAAGCAAATCACAGCTTAGCAATTATAGGCTCATACACCTTACCGAATCAAATATCATTTTAATATGTACTACATAGATCATTTCGAAAACATTCATCAACTCATAATGTCAAAAATAATTCAAAAATTAACATTCTGTCAAGCATTTAGTATATCATAAATTAATATCAAAACATGTCATCAAATCATGGATCAAATTGTAAAAATCATCATAAATCACCATTATCATTCATTTATTGTTAGCTACGATCACTACTATAACCTTTGACATTAGTCGTATCGATAATTTTATCCTCATGATTATTGCTAACAATTATAACCCGCTAGCTAGGACCTTATGCTAACTACTATAACCTGTTAGTAGAGCCATATGATCATATCTATATTAAGTACTATTACCCATTAGCCAAGGCCATAGAATTAGTTATGGTATCGATGATCTCACTTCTTAGGGATGTAAAAAACATAACTATCATAAAATCATTCTCTAAACATAAATCATTTTCTCATTTCATTCATAAGCATGATCCATCGTTTATATAGAGAAATGTAAAATAATCATATGCTTGATGATATTTTCATACATCGAAAATAATGAAATAAAACATTCATTCATTTAGAAACATATATATATATATACATAGATTTGAAAACAAGTAAAATGTATGAGATTTTACTTACCTCCTTCTTATTCCACCACTTAATTTTTTTCTCTCAAATAATTAATGGCCTATTCAAGATAACTTCATCATAACAATAATTAATCAACCCATTTGAGACCACTTATTCCAAAATAATTAAGTTAAACAAGAATTAACTCAAGTAACAAATTATGGCAACTTGTGCTACTTTCACGAAAATGATCATATCTTAAGATATCCAATTTAGAATTAAAATCTTCTTAATGCATTAGAAACTAGACTAGATAAGCTTTTAACCATATATGGCCCATCTCGTGATTCCTTATGGATTAATTATAATAATTTTTACAATCCACGTAATATGCTGTTGCCATATAGTATGTATACCTTTTAATAAAAATTACTCAATTATTCATAGGAAACTCCAAATTCCATTTTGATTATTTTGTTGGAAAGTAGACTTAATAAGCTTTCCAAACGTGTATGGCTTAATCTTTAATTCCTTGTATAAAAATTAAGAGAAATTTCACAATTCTTCCCTGTTACTGCTATTAGGCAGCCTACATATCCTTAAATAAATATTAACCTACTCTTCATAGAAAATTCAAAATTAACTCTTGTTTATTTCATTGGAAAGTAAATTCGGCAAGCTTTCCAAGGATATATAATAATCATAGCAGTATTTTATCCATTAATATAGAATATTATCACAATCCATCACTGCAAATATCAAGGTTCATACAAAATAGAAACTTTCCTTGATATTCACAAATATCAAGATTAATTCCTATTTTTTATTTTTACAGTAATAAAATCACATTACCAAACTTTCTCAACACTTAATTAGACCCTAATTAAAGTCTAAATGATTTGCCCAAACTAATCTTAAAGAGGGATAATGGATTTCCTAAAATTTTAGGGTTTTTCAATTATAAATTACTCCTCAGGACTTAACAATCAACATTATTTCTCCAAAATTAAAGGAAATTACTTACTCACCTTTGACAGACAATTCTCTTTGTAGATTTTGTTGTTACCCTTCACTTGGAATCCTTGGATTTATCTTTTTTGTATAAGAAAAAGAGAAAGAAGAACTATGCTTTTATTTTTCTTTCAATTAGTCATCGACCGAAAATAGTAGAATAAATTAATCCTATTAAAAAATTAAATTATTTATCAATAGTTCTTATACATTTCTCATTTTTTATTAAAAAGTCCATCCACTTATAAAAATACTTAAAATATATATATTTTTACAGGTATTACAACAAGGTTTTCTGAACTTTTCGGAGATGAAGGATAAAGGCAGAGAGTACTTTGGTTACTTAGCCAATCGTTCTTTCTTTCAGGATTTTGAAAAATATTTGACAACATATATAAATGTAAGATGCATGACTTGATACGTGATTTTCTCCAATTTTTTACTTTTAAAAATAAAAAATATGATACTTCTCCTGAACGAGAGATTTTTACTAGTATATATAAAAGGACATTTATCTCCATAAATTTGATCTCTTGGGAGTTACCACGAACTTTGGTAGGTAGATATTATAATAGTATGAACATATTATGATATAGTCAACAACTAATCTCATAAAATAAACCCCAATTGCTTTAATATGTTTGATGATATGATAATAATAAAAAGTTGATCAAAATTGCAAATTGTGCTATGAACTTGATCAAGGGTCTAGGCCAACTAAATTTTGTTTTTGTTGGATCACAAAACTTCTAACCGTCAACTCAAGCAAATCCCAGCCCCAGTATAGATAATCATGCATAAAGATTAACTGATGTTATGAGATGATATTATTGAAATTGACATCACAAACTTACATGTAAACGTTTTGTCTAGGAGTTCTATGTTATCAACCTAGAAGTTTTGATAGATTCGTTATATCTGATTCACTCTTACGTTAGGAATATTGGTATATATGTAGTAGTAGTAGTAGTAAATGCCTTGCTAATTCTATACTTTCCTAAATTAAACTTCATTTAGAATGACGATGAGATTGAAAACAGTAATAAAATTTATTGTAATTACGATTAAAAAAATTATTGTAATTATAATTAAAAAAATTAATAAAAAATTTATATTAATTTGATTTTACTGAAATTAATATTTAAATTTAATTAAAAATATGATAAATTTAATTATATCATATTAAAATGCGGTGAGATTTAAATGAAACCTTAGTACTGTTTTAATAGATTTATGTGTTGTGAACCTCATTCGCCTGACCTTGTTATTCAGTAAGTAGGTGGGTTGGTGGCTCCAATATATTTTCTTTTGTCACTTCATTTCTTGAAAGCTTATCCCTTTGGCAGGGCGATGGCAATTCCTCTCACCGTGCAAGCATGTGATCTTGAAACTATAGTTACGTAACAAAACAAATTATTCCACGCATGGAAGGACTACGTGGTAAAAAATCAAATGTTGAACCATGTCCCTCACCAATACCTCTCATGCTGACAACGTCATGAGCTGTACATCTGATGTTGCAACTTGCAAAAAGCATATTCTAAGGTTCTCAGTATATTCGCCATTTAGTCAAAAGTATGATAACCGGCAAATATAAAGTTTAAGTAACAAAGAATTTTTTTTATTATTTTTTATTATAAAATGCTCTTGGGATATTTTATTTTCATAAAAAAAATTTAATCACTACTTGAAAATTATTTATTTTTCTTATTTGATAATTTTGTCAAAAAAATTATATCTTTGCCGTTGCCTCGTAGTTGATATGAAAAGCTTCATCATTCGGTTTACCGCAGGTTACCAGTCAACAATTATAGAAGTGGTCCCCATTTTACTTGCTACCTAATCCCAAGGTCACCATTGTAGTTTCCCTGAAATTCCAGATCTTATCTCTCTTTACCCATTACCAAGGCCTCTTTTTCTTTTAGGAAAATAGCAGAAACACTTGTTCTGCAATTATAGATCATCTAGTAAAAGTTATTGCTGAATAAAGTTGAGTTGGATGGTTTAATCAGCCATCAATTTTCTTTCACTAATCAATCAATTAATCTCTCTCTCTCTCTCTCTCTCTCAAAATGGCCGAAGCACTTGTTTCTTCCATCTTGACAATGGCAAAAGCACTTGCTTCTTCCATGTCGGAGCAACTCATTGCTATCAGTACTAAGATTGCACGGCAAGAGCTGAAGTTAGTAACGGATGTTGAGAAAGAAGTCGAAAAGCTTGATAGCAATTTTAAGGCCATCCGCAATACGCTTGAAGAAGCAGAGCAAAGGCAAATAGTGGAGAAAAATGTGAAAGTTTGGTTAGAAAAGCTCAAAGAAGTGTCTTGTGACATGGAGCGTCTGTTGGATGAGTGGAGAACTGCACTCTCCAAGTTACAAACAGATCCTGAATTAGATGTAAGTGCTTCTATTCCCAAGAGGAAGAAAACTTCCTTAACTTCATGGGTTTCTTCTTGTCGTCAAGTTGTTTGGCATCGTGACATTGCTAACAAAATAAAACGAATCAATGAAAGGCTAGATGAGATTGCTAAGCAGAAAGATAGATATCATTTGACAAAAACCAAACAATATAGTCGAGTAGAGAGTACATCTTTTATTGATGTGTCCAAGTTACATGGTCGAGATGAGATTAAAAAAGAGATAGTGGAGATATTGTTGAATGGGACTAGTGAAGAAGGCTGCATTCAGACCATCTCTCTAGTAGGGAAGCGAGGGATCGGAAAAACAGCTCTTGCTCAATTAATCTTTAATGATCAAAAAGTTCAAGCACACTTCAACAAAAACGTAAAGTGGGTGTGGGTCTCGGAGCGTTTTGATCCAAACAAAATTGCGAGAGCAATTTTAGGAATTCTGGACAAAGATTCAGCTGACAACCTCCAAAATCCAATTCCCTTACAAGATGTTCTGACCAAAATTTCTGAAAAAATCGGAAGTGCAAAATTCTTGCTTGTTTTAGATGATGTGTGGACAGACCGTGATGAAGATTGGGAGCCACTAGAAGCTGTTTTACAACAAAACAAGTCTGGAAGTAAGATTTTAGTGACTACTCGTAAAGAATCAGTTGCAACGCGGATGGAATCCTCTCGAGTGTTTCGTTTGAAAGAATTATCTGATGAAGTGTGCTGGTTGATACTTAGTCAATCGGCCTTTAAGGGAAAGGGAAATGAGTTGCGTAAAAACTTGGAGGATATTGGAAGGGAAATAGCAAAGAAGTGTAAAGGTTCACCACATGTTGCTAAGACTTTGGGAAGATTGCTGCGGAAGGAAAATACTAGGAGTGAGTGGCAAAATATACTGAATAGTCAGATATAGGAAATTAAATGTCGACAGCAGTGAAAATGTGAGACTGGATTTATCTTCCAAAAAGACTCATCATTTGAGGGTAAAGATTGCAAAAGAGGATTAATTTCCTGTGTCTATAAAAGGCGTAGAGAAACTAAGGAGCCTTTTAGCCTGTAGTAGTGTGTGAATTGCATAATTTGCAATACTTGAATCTCATTGGATGTTTTGGTCTTGAGAAACTACCAGAAGGTAGAGGGAAACTGATGAACCTGAGGTCTCCTCGTACTGATTATAGTTGGAGCCTAGAATACTACCCAAAAGGAATTGGGAGATTAACTTCTCTGAGGGAATTAACCAGAGTCATAGCGAGAGTAGATGGCAATGACGCCAGAGAATTCAGTGTTGATCCGGAAAACTTGGACCTCCTTTGTGGATCTCTTTGGATAGAACCGGTGGGAAATGTGGCAGATGTGGAAGAGGCTAAGGGAGCCAAACTGCACAAGAAGATACATCTCAACCATCTGCGTATGGACTACGAAGGGCGTGGACTGAGTCTTTCGGGGGAAGACTTTATTCAAGCTTTAAACCCACCTCCTAGCTTACACATACGGTTCACATAGCTGCCTGTACTCTTTCTGTTTATTACTCTCTCCGAATTACTTTTGTTCAAACTTTCTCTAAACAAATCACTTGATAGTGTAATTGTAATTTTATCTTGTGTTCTTGTTGTTCGTATGGATTTATTGTGAGACCTTTAACTTGCAATGCATTATTTTAATGTATGGACTAATTTATGTTTAATATTAGTGAGATGCTACAGTTACTTCTTCTTCCTTTATATATATATAAATATACATATATTTATTTATATATATCTTAGGGTACTGAAACCAAAAAAAATTTAATTAAATATTTAAATTACATGTTTATGTATTAATTTGCCCTAATTATGAATTACATTAATCCTTTACGCTGACATGGTATTAACATCAAATAAAATATTGTCATATGTTAAAAAAATCTAGTTAACGTGTTTATCAATGTCATGTCAATATTAAAAGAATATTTTAAAAAAATATAAAAATATTTTTAAAATGTTTTGAAATATTTTTAAAAAATTTTATAAATTATAAAAATTTAGAAAAATAAAAAATTCAAAAATAATTTGTAAAAATTTTAAAAAATTTTAAAAGAATTCTAAAAATTCTAATTTTTTTTAATTCTAAAAAAATTTCAAAATTTATAAAAGCTAAACTTTTTTTTTTAATTTCATTTCTTCCTCCCACACCACAATATATATATATATATATATATATATCTTTTTCTGTCAAATAACAAAAAACTGGATCTTCTTTTTGAAAAATTTTTAAAAAATTTAAAAAATCTTTAAGAATTATAAAATTTAAAAAAAAAGTAAAAAATTCTAAAAAGTAAAAATTTTTAAAAATTCAAAAAAATTTAAAATTTTCTAAAAATTTTAAAAATTCTAAAAGTTTTAAAAAAATTTTTAAAAAAATTCTATAAAATTCTAATTTTTTTAAAAAAATTCTAAAATAAAATTTATAATTTATAAAAGCTAAACTTTTTTTATTTCATTTTTTCTCCCACTCTACAAAAAAAAAAAAATCCTTTCTCTTTCAAACAACAAACAACTAGCCCTTCTTCAATCCAGTTTCTGAAATCGATTACCATTGCTCGTCGGCATCAATTTGCCATAAATTTCACCAAAAAGCTTATATCTTCCTCCTCATCCTTTTTTTCAAGTTGATTTTTTTTTTTGTTTGGCAAAATAGGGCTATGTTTTGTGGTGGTGAAGGGAGGGCGTTATTTGGGGTCCAATTGGTGGGTGTTGGTGGTGTAGAAGGCCGAATAGTGGTGGCTTGTCTATGGAGGGCAGTGGCCTGGATTTAAGGGTAGTAGGTGGATTGCTGAATGGTGGTGGCTTGCAATGGTGTTGATCAAGGATGGTGACAAGTGGGGTCTTAGCCTTGGGTGTCAAGGGTGGTTAAAGGGCTTCGATGATAATGCTGGAAAAGACTGAGATTTTTTAATATTGAGAGCTGTTTCAATTTTTTATGTTTTCCTCCTTAACCAGTTGAATTTTTTTAATTTTTTAAAAATTTTTTAATTTTAAAAAATTTAAAAGAATTTTTGTAATGTTTTTTTTATTTTTTATATTTTTATATTTTTAGGAATTTTCAAAAAAATTTAGATTTTGGAATAATGTCCCTTTTCTATTTTTGAATTTTTTTTTGAATTTTTTGAATTTTTTATAATTTTTAAAATAATTTTAAAATCTTTTTAGAGATTTTCAAAAAAAAAAACGACTGATTGTTTGCTGTTTGAGAAAGAAAAAAAATTTTTAGTGGGAGGAAGAAATGAAATAAAAAAAGTTTAGCTTCTGTAAGTTTTACATTCTTTTAGAATTTTTATAAATTTTTTAGAAATTTTTAGATTTTTTTAAGAATTCTTTGAAACTTTTGAAAATTTTAAAAGTTTCTAAAAATTTTTTAAAAATTTTTTGAATTTTTATTTTTTTGAATAGTTTTTGAATATTTAATTTTTTAAAAAGATTTTAGAAGTTTTTAAAAACTTTTTAGAATTTTTTAAAATTTTTTAAAATTTAAAATTTTTAAAAAATTTCTTTTAATATTAACATAGCATTAATAATGTAGCGCAAACTGAATTTTTTTTCACGTGTTAGCATCTTATTAGATGTTAATATCATGCCAACATTTAGGGTTAACAACGTTAATAGTTGGAGCAAATTAATACACGAAAATATAATTTAAGTATCTAATTAAAAAAAATTTTAAGTACCACATTAAAAAAAATACAATAATCCAAGACTCATATAAAACATTATCCCAAAATAAAAATATTATTTAAATTGCACTCTTCGTTCTTTTATGATACTAATATCATCAATTATTACATAAGTATTAAATTTTTATGTCATTTCTTTCTCAATGAGTTAACCAAAGAATTTCTCAAAAAATCATCTTTTATCTTACTTTGAAGTTGAGTTTGTTTTATAGATGCAGTTGAAATTAGAAGAGTCAATATGAGACAAATCAATCTATTAATGAGTAGATATACCTCTAACTTTCCAATTTCAACTAACCTGCTACAAAGTTTAAAAAATGTTGATATTTTTTCATATCCAAATGTTGACACACGTCAACTTTATAATGTCTCAACTCATATGGAAGGAATTTTTTCTCTCTGTAAATAAAATCTTCTAGATAAAATTTGTTAACAAAATTGTAAATTTTTCAACATCAAATAATTTAAAAGACTCTCTGAGATTTAAAGATGCAGTAAGAGTAAGCAACTCAATAACATAGTCATTTAATCTATGGTTTATTTCTTGTAATTAAGTATCTATTGCAACAAAAAATATATCTACTCGATAATGATGATAAATTGTAACATCTTTTTTCTTATTATGACCACGACCTACCATTTATGGAATATTCATATCTATAGTAGCTAGCTCACAACTCTTACAATATGACATCACATTATTCAATAATTCATCCCATCCATTTTCTTTGAACTTTTGAAATAACTTTTTGGTTGTCAACACAAGATTTAGGCATTCAATATGTCCTGAGAATGATGCTGTAAAGCTTGACAAAAATTATCAATAATGCCCATAATTTCCTTCATCAAGTGTAAAGTAAAAACATATTTAAAAGATATCAACCTACTATATGCAATAAGAGCATATCTATGTTAAGAATAATTAGGTACAAGTATTTTTTATTTTCAATAATAGTGCATGTTGCATGAAAACATCTTCATTAAACTAATAATTGAATTCAAATGAGAACTCCATCGATTGTCACCTGGACTCTAAAAAATGCTCAATTGATTCATACTAGTTCCAGTTTCCACCACAGCAATAGAAATTACATAAGTAATTTCAATTGCTTGAGCTTTTTGTAATTCATCATGACATTTGGAATAAGCACAAACCACATTAACAATATCAACCAAATTTTTAAAAAATTGATGCACTTCTGTAGATGCTACAACCAATGTTAATTGAAGTCGATGAGTAAAACAATAAACATAATAAGCATATGGAAACTTTTTCAAAATTAAAGCTTGCAAGCCATTTAACTCTCTATGCACATTACTTGTTTCATCATATCATTGTCTTTAAAGATTTTGTATGTCAAAATCATAATGGAAAAAACATTAAAAATTTTATTTTTCAAAGTCAACACTGAAGTATCTTTTAAAATGAACTAAATCAAAAAAAGTTCTTTTACAAACCCTTCTTTATCAACAAATCTTAAAACAATTGCCATTTGCTCCATTTTTTACTCATCTTTAACTTCATCCACAATAATGCAAAAATTTTCAACACCAATTTCTTCACGAATTGCATCGTGAACTCTTTTAGCATAAATATGCATAATTTTTTTTTATGTTTTTGAATAAGTGTATGCGACATTTTGCAGAGCATTTTCCCAACATCTTCAACCTTTTTATCATAAAATGTCAACAATTTTACCAATTCAAGAATGCTTTCACAATTTTTTTATTTTAAACTTTCATCATAACCTCTGAAGGCACATCCTTGAAATGTCAATCATTGAGCAACATTTATACTAGTTTTCAAATATAAACGATTAATTCCAATTTATTGTGTTGTTTGCCTATTAAGTAATACTTTAATATGTTGAGCTTGATTCATTAAATCTACACAAGCTCATTGTGTTTGAACCATGATGCTTAAAAGTGATAGGGATGCTTTTCTGAATGGGAAGTAGGATATTCTAAAAAATTAGGTTGATAAGGTCCAACCTTGATGTAAATTCTTCAAATTTCAGCATGTAGATTAATCAAATACTTATATTTGTTTACGCTATCTTAGATCATGTTCTAAATTAGAAAAATCAATTATCTAGCTTCAACTCTTGGAATTTTAAAAACATGAGTTTCATAGTTTGGAGCAAATGATGTGGTGGTGGTGCTTCATTTTGTGAGATAGAATTAGAAAGTGTAGCATTCGCTTT